CCCAAGCACAGCATGAAGGAGATTCCCCACTCCAGGTTCTCCTTGCCTGTTCCCTTGCAGGTGGCCTTATGCCAAGACTGCTGAGGCCATGAAGGAGCTGGGCTGCAGGCACGTGAACAGCCAGGTGAGCGAGGTCCACGTGGACACCAGGAACCGGCTGGTGAGCACCAGCGCCTTCATGTGCAACGCCCCCATCCACCACGTGCACGACGGCATCGGCAACATGGTCAGGGAAGTGCTCAGGCTGGCCTGAGATCCCCCAGGCACCCAGCTCCTCTCCATGGATAATGTCCTTCGCCTCCCACAGCAACAGCAGAAGTGACACTCCAGCTCTGCCCCAGAGCTCTGCTGGCTGCTGAGCAGGGACAGTCCTGGAGGTGTTGTGTTCTGCCAAGGACACGGCAGTCCCTGGCAGGAGCTGGCCTGGGAGCTGCCATGGGATGGTGGGATGGGCTGGGCTGGGAGGGACCTCAAAGCTCATCTTGTTTCTATCTCCTCCCATGGGCAGGGACCCCTTCCACGGTCCCAGGCTGCTCCAGGCTGGCCTTGGACACTTCCAGGGATCCAGGGGCAGCCACAGCTTCTCTGGGCACCCTGTGCCAGGGCCTGCCCACCCTCACAGGGAGGAATTCCATCCCAATATCCCACCTATCCCTGCCACAGGCTCCCACAGGGCCCAGGGTCAGCTGCTCCCCATCCCCTCCCTCAGAGCAGTGAATTGTGGCCAAAGGAAGGAACCCAGTTCTGCTACCAAATAAAACCTGATGCTTCTACTGAATTCTGAACTCTGCTTCTGTCTCTGCCTTTCGCTCTGGATCAGGACAAGCTCTGGGTCAGTTGGGAAAATGATACAGGAAGAAATCCCCAGCACCAGCCCCCCTTGTTTTGCTGGGATTTGTCAGAACCCAGACTGGAGCAGGAATGTGACATTGGTGAGAGCAGGACCAGCCCCATGTCACCAGCCAGCTCTGGTGGGAAGAGGTGAAATTCTTCTCCTGCATTAACAGAACCAGAGAAGTCCAGGTTGGAAGGATCTCAAGGCTCACCTGGTCCAACCTTTCTTGGTAAAAATGCTGTCTCCATAAAATGCCCCAGCAGCCTGTCCTGGTGGATCCCAAAGTGCCCAAACTCAGGGAATCCACCACTTCCAACAGCTGATTTTCTCATGGTGAAAAATTGTCCTAGGGTGCCCATTCAGAATCTCCCCAGGAATATCCTGCACAGATTATCCCTTGTCCTTTTAATGATTCCTCATAAAAGGGGAGTTTCTTTCTCCTTTGTTGCCCCCCTTCAAATACCAAACAAGATCTCCCCTAAATCTCAGTTTCCCCAGGCTGAGCAAGCTCAAGTCTCTCAGCCTCTCCTCACATGGGAACTTCCCAGGCTTTGGATCATCTCTGTGGCCTCTGGATCTTCTCCAGCCTGGCCACATCTTTTTTTGGCAAAGTGGGGATCAAAACTCTTTCCACAACTCTGATGGCTTAAAAATAAGATTTTATTTGAAATCCAATCCCATCTGCAGCCTCTGAGCATTCCTGCAAGCACAGAGCACCCAGCAACAGCACTGGGAATTTCCTTCTGCAAAGATTTCTTTTTAACCATGTGAACTGAACACAAGGTACATTGCAGGAGTTTACTTTTATTTTGAGTTTAAAGAATGCCCTAGAAAAGGAGGGGATGGATAATCCCATAAAACAGGTTCTAAAAAGGTGGTTTCTGCAAATATATCATAAAAAGAGTTCACTGTAGGGCCCAAACCAAGACATAAACCCAAAATAGATTTACACTGAGCAATAGATTGACACTGTCTGGTTCTGAGTCATCTCTTTACCAAACCGGAATCGTTTGGACCCATTTTTTTAGTCAGAAAAGGATCTGAATTTGGTCCCAAAAATGCAGTTTGTGTATTTCAAGCAGTGTAAACATCATAACCAGCAACCACGTTGCTGCCTGTAAACAGAGTGGTGCAAACTGCTCCCAACACTTTTAAAACTTAAAAATATTCTACACAAAAAACTTTTAACAGAACTGACCTGTATTTTCTGCTGCCTCCAAAGAAATCAAGACACCACAAAAGTGAGGCTCCCATTCCCTAAGGAATGTATACAAGTGCCAAGGAATAAATCCCACTGGGCTTCAGTAAAGGCCGGTCTTCTTCATGATCCTCAGGAATTCCTGCTCGTTCACTTCCCCATCCCCATCCCGATCTGCCTCATCAATCATCTCCTGCAAGAGATTTGGGGTCAGGATTTAGGTCTGGGGTTTACTGGGAATCACTGGATTCATTCAGAATTCCAGCCACGCTTTAGCTGTGCTGGAGGGGACAGTGTTGGCTCAAGCTCAGACAAAATATTTCCTGAAATCTGTTTTGCTGGGTGTATTTATAGAGAAATCTGACCAGGAAATATTATAGGAAAAGTCCTGGGGGAAACAAAGTGCTTGGAGCAGAGCCATTCCTTTCACACCACTGCTACTGCACTAAACAGCAATGGATGATCCCATTCCTACATCCATGTGGGCTCAACCCATCCCTGACCTCAAAATCACAGATTCCAGAAATTCCTCCCTTCCTACCAGCACAGAGAGGATTCTCCTCCCAGCTCCAGCACAAAGACCCCCAAACCACCAGGTCCAAACCTGCAGCTCTTCATCAGTGAGGTTCTCCCCCAGCACTTTGGCCACACGTTTGAGGTTTTGGAAAGAGATTTTTCCAGTCTCATCATCATCAAAGAGTTTGAAAGCTTTGAGAATCTCCTCTTTGGAATCTTTTTCAGCCTTAAGGAAGAAAGAACAAGTTTAAGGTAAAACAGGAGTGGTTGTGTTGTAGGTGACACTCAAAATGAAGTTATAAAAGGTATGACAGGCTGAGAAACCCTTGGGAACAAATAAAGGAGCCCAGCCAGCAGGAATTATACATAAAATTCAGACAGAGACACAACCAGAATTCCAGAATTTCAGGGATTTTTTTCTGTCCTTGCCAGCCAGATATCTTTGGGATTTCACTATCAGGGTCTTCTGCCATTAAATATTTGGATTTTGAAAAGATTTTTCAAACCAGAGATTTAATCTGTAAATTAGAATTCAAAGGAAGAGAACACCCCCATGCCAGACATCAATCCTCCAAAAGCTTCCTGCAGGCCTGAGCTGCCTTCCATCTGTGAGAAAAACTTTTTTCCCTTTTTTCAAACACAAAATTCACCTCTGCTTTTTAAAGAAATCTGTTAATGATATCACGATTTTAATTTTTCCCTGAAAAATGAGAGAATCCAGGATTGGGATTACCCCAGCTTTTATACATTTAATTGTTAGGATTCAAATATATAGAGCTTTAATCTCCCTGTAAACCCAAAAGGAGATAAAGGCTCCTCATCCACCTTCAAAATTCCCTTTGTCTGGAGCTGTGAAAGGTCCATACCATTCTCTGGGACATCACTGCCAGGAAGTCACTGAAGCTGATTTTTCCTGTCCCTTCCTTATCGATGTCTGAGATAATTTTCTTGATCTCTTCTTTCTTAGGTTCAAACCCCAGGGCCCTCATGGCCACCTGGAAGGACAAAATAAGTTACAAATCCTACAAAATTGTCACCAAAACCACAGGAGAGGGAGAAAAGTGTCCAAAATTCCGTGTCTCCTGGAAAACAGGAGCAGGCTGAGAGTGAGGCTGCTCTGAACTCACACCAGGATGCAGAAAACAGGGATAGAAACATTCCTGTTCTGGAACTGTCCCTCAGCTAATCCAGGAATTTCCTACACACACTCTCAGCATCCTTAACTGGTCAACCACAGAGAACTTGAATAAGTTTATTTTACATTCTGGTGATAAAAATCTTGTTGGGAAAACATTTTCCTCCTTTGATAAAGGGCCAGATAATAGGAACAACAACCATAACAATAATAACGAAGCATTAAATCCTCAACAAGAGGGGAAACCTCCCCACTCCCACCTTTTTAATGGACACAACCCCTTTTTTATGTTTTATGCAGAGAGAAAGAGTTGGGACACAAAGCACAGAATTATACACTAATTTTGGGCAGCCTGGCCCTAAACACACTGGATAAGAGCAGAAAAGAACTGCAATTAAAGAGAAAACCATGCCTTTTGCCCATCAGGTGTTCTGCTGGAGAGAGGAAGGGGAAACTCAGGAAACTCCTGTGTTTTTTTGAGGTTATTTGAGCATTTATGGCCCTGTTCCCTTATAACCTCAGTGACTTCCAGCCCCAGGGAAACCCCGACCTTCAGCTCCTTGACATCGATGCTGCCGCTGCCGTCGGTGTCGAAGAGCTCGAAAGCCTCGCGGATCTCCCGCTGCTGCTCCTCCGGCAGCTCCAGCTTGAGATTCACCTTCTTCCGCGGCGCCGCGGCTCCCAGCGACGGCTTCTTAAAGCCGCAGGCCTCGGCACGGCACAGCGGGGTCGGGGGCGAACGGGGGGCTCAGCCCTGCCACTGCCCCTGAGCCCCCTCAGTGCCCCTGAGCCCCAACACCGCCCCTGAGCCCCCAACACCGCCCCTGAGCCCCCTCAGTGCCCCTGAGCCCCCATCACTGGCCCGGAGACCCCTCATAGTTCTGGAGCCCCCTCCCAGCTTGTGAGACTCCTCAGCTCCCCTCAGTGCCCTCACAGCGCCTTCGCCATCCCCTGACCGCTCCCCGACCGCTCCTGAGCCCCTCACGGCCGCTCCCCGCCCTCACCATCCCGCCGGCTTCTCGCCTGGCAGCCTCAATATCGCGCTCTCCCATTGGCTGTCGCCCCCACGCCGCTGCTATGGCAACGCGTGTTCCTATTGGCTGCCGTGATGGAGGAGCCGAAGGTGAATGAGCGCGTGGGAGAATCCCCTCCTTCCTTCAACGCGATTGGCCGGAGTGAAGAGGGGTTAGACCAATCAGCGAGCGGGAGCGGGCTGGCGCGATGCTCGCCCCAGGGAAAGAGGGAGGAACAGGGCGAGTGGGGCGTGGTCTGGCCGGGAGCGCGGCGCTCATTGGTGGAGCGCAGGCAGGGGGCGTGGCCGGGGCTCCCTGAGGGCGGCGGCGGCGGCGGGAGGGGTCCGGAGGGTCCGGCACCGGGAAAGGTGCTGGGAACGGCGGGGAACGCGCTGGGGCCGCGGGACAGGGCCTGGGGTCCGTGAGGAGGGTCCTGCGGGAGTGGGGAAAGGCGCTGGGGCTGTGGGAAGGAGCTGGAGCAGGGGAGGCGGTCCTGGGGCCGTGGGGAGGAGGTCCTGGGGGCTGTGGGTGAGGCCCTGAAGGCCGAGGGGAGGAGGATGGGGGGCTCCGGGATGGGGCTGAAAGAGCTGGGGGGCAACTGGAGATGCAGCAGTTTGTAAAGGGCATTTTGGAGAGGGATGAGGTGCTGAGGGACGAGGGGTGGAGGAGGGAGCAGCTGCAGCGGGATCACCTGTGCCCCTGCTTTAAACCAGCTCGGTGCTGCAGGTGGACAGGCACCGGTCCCGCCTCTTCTCGGCTCTTTCCTTGGAATTTCAAAGGGGTTTCCGAAAAATCAGTACCAAAGAGCCAGGCCAGCACCTGTATTTGCTGATTTAATTTGGAAGAACAGGGAGCATTAATTCCCTCTCTTCATCCTTCTTCAGCGTAATGGCTTCAAAGCTTGATTTCTGTAACTAGAAATGCGCTGTTTTATTTGACATTGTGCTATTTTTATTGGGAATAAAAGAATATTCTCCCTTTTTTCAAGGATTCTGGTGGACAGTGCATCACCCTAGCCATGGCCACACGCCTCAGATCGGTGAGTTGGGGCCTCAAATGGTGCTTTGGCTGTTTCATCTTGAAACAAGTTCATAAATATTCTGCACATCACTAGGGAAGATATGAGGCTGATCCTGCATTAATGATAATTCTAAGGAGAAAACATGTTTTTCCAAGGTATAATTTGGGTAGATTGAATTCATACCTTAAAATCAATATAGACATATAGCTTGGCTTGCCATAAATATTATACTGTGCAATATCAAATTGTAGAGATATTATTATATATAATAAAATCATATATAATTGTGGCTGCCCCTGGATCCCTGTCCAAGGCCAGGTTGGATAGGGCTTGGAGCAGCCTGGGATAGTGGAAGTGTCCCTGTGGAAGGTGGAATAAAATGAGCTTTGAAACCCCTCCCAACCCAAAGCAGTCTGGGATTCTGGGATTCCTTTGAAGCCTCTGCAGTGCTCTGGGGCTCAGAGGCAGAGGGCAGCATTCTGCTGCAGTAAAACTTCATTTCAAGCACATCTCAGAGCAGTTCGGGTGCTCTTGGCTCCTGGAGAGTGCACAGCCATCAGGGAGTGCCACAGCGGTGTGGGGTGGAAGGGACCTGATGGGAAAGGGTGCAGGGCGAAGGGAAATGCCCGTGGAAGGGAGTGACTGCCTTTGGAGAGGGGCTGAAGCAGTTTCTGTCCCCTCAGCAGCCGTCCCCTCTCTGATGAATCCCCTCATCTTCTCCAAACAACACCCCAAAATGCCACATCCACTCGTTGGCTGAGCACTCCCAGGGCTGGGGACTCCAAACCTCCCTGGGCAGCTGTGCCAGGCCTTGGCCACTCTCAGTGTAGGAATTTCCCCACTATCCACCCTGACCTCCCCTGGCCCAGCCTGAGGCTGTTCCCTCTCCTCCTGTCCCTGTTCCCTGAGCACAGCCTGACCCTCCGGTCTGTCCCCTCCTGGCAGGAGCTGTGCAGAGCCACAAGGGCCCCCTGAGCCTCCTTTGCTCCAGGCTGAGCCCCTTCCCAGCTGCTCCTCACAGGAGCTCCAGAGCCTGATCAGGCTCTCCTTGGCATGGCCCATCCCAAATAACTGCTTCAGCTTTGATGTAACTCAGGGAGCTCCTCACATTTCTCTTGTGGATCACCCAACACTTGGCAGCAGAACCTTTGTTTGAGGATGGCCTTTAAAGAGTTGTGAACAATCACTGTCTTTGTGTGGCTCCCTCAGAGGTGGGGGTTGTGTTACCACCAGGAGGAAAACTCTTTCCAGCCAGCACAGAGCATTCTTTGTGTACCAGCTCCCTCGGACTCAGGGCCTGCATGTTCCGTGCTGGCAGTGAGGTCTTTGGTCTCAGTCCAGTCAGACGAGTGCCCAGACTGAACTCTGTTAATTAGTGACTCCAATCACTGATTTACAAAGCTTAAAAAGAAAGGAAGAACTAATGGCTCAAAAGGACAGCCCCTGCCTTCACCTGGCTGCTTTCTTGGCTCTGAGTGTCACAGGTTCTGATCGTGGTGATGGTTTTGATGCTCTGAGTTAGCTGTGGCAGGAGGCTGAAGCAAATCACAGAATCACCCAGAGTCCCAGACTGCTCTGGGTTGGGAGGGACCTCAAAGCTCCTCCAGTGCCACCCCTGCTGTGGCAGGGACACCTCCCACTGTCCCAGGCTGCTCCAGCCTGACCTTGGGCACTGCCAGGGATCCAGGGGCAGCCACAGCTGCTCTGGGTACCTGTGCCAGGCCCTCCCCACTGTCCCAGGGAACAAATTCCTTCCCAATATCCCAATATCCCATCCATCCCTGCCCTCTGGCAGTGGGAAGCCATTCCCTGTGTCCTGCCTCTCCATGCTCATGTAAATCATCTCTCTCCATCTTTCTTGCAGGCTCCCTTCAAACTCTGTTTGCTTTGCTATCCAAGCAGAGTTCAGGGGAGCCAATCTTCTTCTCCTTCCCTCCTCCCTGAGCCTCTTGGTTGTGAACATGAGGCAGAGTCCTTCCAAAATCCCAAAATCAGAGTGTCTGCACTCATAACTCCCTGGGTCAGCAGAGAGCTTTGATGTCTGAGTTCGATTCCTCTGGTGGAGCTGCTGAGCAGATTTGCAGCTCACGGAGCCCCAGGGCAGCTCAGGCCAGTGTGCTGTGTGTGCCTGTGTGTCAGGGACCCCCCTGTCCCTGTCCCTGTCCCTGCAGGCTGGCAGGAGCTGCACCGTGATCGGGGGCTCGGGGTTCCTGGGGCGGCACATGGTGGAGCAGCTGCTGGCCAAGGGCTACAGCGTCAACGTCTTCGACATCCAGCAGAGCTTTGACAGTGAGCAGGTGACCTTCTTCCTGGGAGACCTGTGTGACAAGGAGGTGAGGAAGGGCTGGCTGCAAATTAACAAGGGCAAATGCAGGCCTTGCACTTTCCTTGCACTTTCCTTCCTCTGAAGGAAACAGATCTGGTGTCTGATGTCTGGATTCTGCTGCGAGCTGGAAAGAGCAGGACTGCTTTGTGCCTGGTGCCTTGCATTACTGTTAGCTGAGATTCAGGGTAATTACAGCCCCTGGGTTAATTGCAGGGGGCTCTCCCAGCTCTTCTCAGCTCCATGAGAACGGCACAACTCATATTCTCAATAGTCAGGGCAGGATGAGTGGGAGCCTTGGCCAAGGCCTGTGTGAGCCATGTGGGAGGTGACTTTGGGACAGTCACCTGCACTCACCCAGTGCTTTAAACCTGCTGCTTCCTCAGGGACCCAACTCCAGGGAGTCCTGAGCCTTTTACCTGCACCTGGGGATTGCAGGGAGCACAGCCTGGACAGCCTCCAGCTCTGAGGAAGCTCCCAGGATTTCTCTGGGAAGAAGAGAGGATGTGGTGTGTGCTGAGGACGGGACATTGTGGAGATCCTGGATGCTAATCCCATTCCTGCTGCCCACCTTTATGGAGGGAACATGACTTGAAATGCAGCTGTTTCCATGAAAAAGAGCTGGTTTATTTCCCTGCTGTTGTTTTCTCCTGATACTCACCATGGCTGTTGCTCCATTCCCTTCTCCCCCGTGTTTCCTGCAGGCTCTGCTGCCAGCCCTGCAGGGAGTGTCTGTGGTGTTCCACTGTGCCTCACCAGCCCCTTCCAGTGACAACAGGGAGCTGTTCTACAAGGTGAATTTTATGGGAACCAAGGCAGTCATTGAAGCCTGCAAAGAAGCTGGAGTGCAGGTAAAGCTGGAAAAGCCCTGGAGACCAGGAGGGGCTGATGGACTTTGTAACACTGGCACACAGGCCAGTGTCAGCCTTGTCTGAGAGGGGGACAAAGGGCTCTGTGATACTGAATTCCCACTTGGTCCATGAAAACCAATGGAATAGAGACTCTGTGGGTCTCCTGCTTAGTGTGAACTCAATCCCTGTTTGCCACAGAAAACCACACTGTGATTGGAATGGAAAAGCTTCCATTGAAATCTGTCCTGCCTGGGAGTCACCCTGGGAGAACAACACCTCACAAGTGGCTTCTCTCCTGCTTTCATAAGGGGACAGCCCCAGAGATGCCTTTTCCAGCAGTGGGAATATTCATGGCATCAATTCCCTCCCTGAATTCCTCACCATGGAATGAGGAGGAGCACAGTTGTGCCATAATCTCAGTGCTATTTGGTTTAGAAAGTCAATTGCCCACAAAAGAAAGAGCCTGAGGAAGCCAGCCTGGAATTGGAGACTGGATTTTCTCCCTAAATTACTTTGATGACCCATAAGTTTTCATTTAAATTAATTTATTTTAAATTTATTTATTACATTCATTTCATTTATTTCATTTAAGTGACCAAACAAAAACATCCAAGGTTTCTCTTCTTGTTTAATCCACTGAGATCTGTTATTGCCAAGATGAGCAAATCTTTCTTTAAAATACTGGGTGTGTGTTAAGTGTTCCAAGCCTCTGATTCTCCTGGAGATGTTTCCCCTGGATTGACTGCCTTGGGGGTTTGTTGGAATGTTTTAATCTCCTTTAGGTAGCATTAAATGATGGGACAGAATGAATTAAAAAGGGGGGGTTCTCTTCCTGTAGTTTCTATTCATCTTCTGTTAGACTCAGGTTATTTTCTGTAGAATCAGTTGGTTAAATATTATTATTATCATCATTATTATCTTTACTCAGCCTTTGTAAATAATGATATTTTTATTCTGGACTTTAAACAACTCTTTTCTCCCCAATCTCTTGCAGAAATTGGTGTTAACCAGCAGTGCCAGTGTAGTTTTTGAGGGCACAGACATAAAAAATGGCTCAGAAGATCTCCCCTATGCACAGAAACCTATTGATTACTACACAGAGACCAAGATCCTGCAGGAGAAGGTATTTGCCAATGTTAAATTGTTACTTTTGGATGTATTCACTTAATAAAAAGAGAATAAAATCAGTCTGTGGCATGAATTGCCACAGAGGTTGAATGGAATGCTGTGTGACACTGCAGAGGTGTCACTGCCATGGAGGAGCCACAGGATAATCCCAGTTCTCACCTGCCAAGCTTTGGTTTAACAGCAGTCAGGGGAGGATTTTGTCCTCTCTACTGCTTTTCCTGATTTGCAGCCCTAGATTGGGAATGTGAAAAAGGCACTGAGTAAGGAGGAGAGGAGGTGAGAATGTGGCCTGAGCTAAGGGCACCGGCCATTACTGAAAATATTCATGTTAAAAAAAGATCTCCAAACATCTGAGAGTTCCCTGCCTTGGACACTTGCACAGCACCAATATCTGCTCCTCTCCTGTTCTTACTGCTGCAGCATCTGTGGTCTAAATGTGGAAAAACAATGTTTTCAATCAAAGGCAACAGACCTTTTCTGGATCCTTTTTCCATGGCTTGCATTTCAGCTGTGGGAAGAATCTGCTTTTTGTGCCAGAAGAATTGAGAGTCCCTTCCATGCTGATGCTGACAGTGTGAGAGGCTGCAAGGAATTTCCTCCACAAGAGCTTAATTAATTTTAATTGTGCAAACATCTGTTCCTTCCCAGCACTTTGCACTAACTGATAAAGGGGAAGCTGAGGAGCAGCAATCAGGGATAGCCCCAGTGCTGGTGATTATGGCTTTGTTTTGGGGGAAACTCAAAGGATTTTGTCTGTGCCTCCTCTATAGAAATTCCAGCAGCTGCTGGAAGTGAAAACACGTTGTTTAGGAGCTCCCAGGAGAATGAAATCTGCTCCAGAGCTGCTGAATGTGCTGCTGGAGCTCCAGGGAGATGGGATCACCCCCTCCTGAGAGAGATCCAGGAGGGCTGGGGTGGGTACAGCTGCTGGGAGGGACAGAAATGGAATTCCTGAGTGTCCTTCTCCGCTCCAGCTCGTGCAGAGGGTTCATGGAGGGAAGGAGCTTGGAGAGCTCCTCTGGCTTCTGAGGTGTTCAAAGAGAGAAGCAAAGCCTTCCCTTCCTTTGTCAATTAAGTGCTCAGTCATAAAAACTGGTTTGTGTCTGGTTTTCTTACCAAGGAGAACTGGGAAAAGAGATGGGAACAAAGGAAGGATCACTTGGAAAGACAGGAGGGGATGATAATAATTCTTCCACTGGTTCCTTCCCAAGGAGATGGGGAGCCCCCAGCCCCTTCAGTGATGATTGTGGGATGTTGGGACCCTGGCTAGTGAGGATTTGAGACTTTCTGTGCTGCCAGGCACTGACCCCCAAGAGAACACTGCATTGACCTGAGGCCATGGAGAAAGCTTCCAAAATGGAATAGCAGAACTGGGATTGTGAGTGTGGAGTTTGAATAGAATTGTGTGATATCACAGGGTGGAAAACTTAAAGTTTAAGGTTTTATAATACATTAATATATAGAGAGCTAAGATGGAGGTTTTAGGGCAGTGGCTGGTCCTTCTTCTCCACCTTCTTCACCTTCTTCTCCGTGGGTTTGGGTGGTTTTGTGTAATTGGATAAAAAGTCCACATTGCAGGCACAGGGGTGGTTGGTTATTGGGTTAAAAGTGAAAATAATTTAGGTGTCATTTCTTAACTGGACAGTTTAGCCTTAAAAGGCCTGATAGAGAGAGAGATGGGGCTCTATTGTTAGAGAGAAGTACTGTAGAACTCTGGGTTTGTGAGACTGTAACATAGATAAGTATTAATAAACATCTGAGTCCCAACAAGAAATGCCATCTCACACATTTAATCCTGACCCTGGCAGAAAAGAAGTTAAGACTCCACCTTGAGATGCATTGCTGAGCTCTGTTTTCCTTGTTGATTTCCTTCTCCTCTTTCCCTGCAGGAGGTGCTCAGTGCAAACGACCCAGACAACAATTTCCTGACCACTGCAATCCGTCCCCATGGAATATTCGGTCCCAGAGACCCTCAGCTGGTTCCCATCCTCATACAGGCAGCAAGGAGTGGCAAAATGAAGTTCATCATTGGGTGAGCAAGGCCCAGGCATTTCAGAGCTGGGGCAAAATCAGTGCTGGATCTACAAAGCCCTTTTGGAAGGGAACAAAAGCAAATCAGTTGTGTTGTTTCTTTCATTTTTCACTTTCCAGTTTCTTTTCCTTAAAAATCCTATGTCAGGGGCTCACTCCCTGCCATGGTGAGTGTCCATAAAGCCAGAGGAATATCCATCAGGAAAGCTGGCATGGCTTGAGCTGTTAAAGAGCTGTGCCATTAATATAGGCAGCTCAGATTACTTGCTGTTAATTTATACCACTTGTGGTGTTTGAGGTTCTGGCAATTAAAATCCCTATTAAATATGAAACACTAAAAGTATGGCCTGAAATTGCAGCACCAGAGAGTGGGAGAAGGGGAAACTTGGAATGAATTTATCCTGATGGAAGTCCTTCCTTTTGTCACAAGCAGATTCTCAGCACAGCTTGCCTTGGGGCTAAATTCCTTTTCTGTGTGCAGGGATGGAAAGAACTTGGTGGATTTCACCTACGTGGAGAACGTGGTGCATGGGCACATCCTGGCTGCAGAAAAGCTGCACAAAAGCTCTCCTCTGTGTGGGAAGGTGAGGGGGGAGGGGAGGGGAGGGGAGGGGGGAGGGGAGGGATCCCCGTGTCTGCTGAGGGGATCCATGCTGATTCCTGAGGGTTCTGGACATCACCCTGCAGGCCAGCAACTCCAGGTTTTGCATCTGTGGTGAGCATTGAGTGCAGCCACCTGGGCTGAGCTGGATGGATATCCTGGAATTTCCTGCTCTAACACTCCTTGGGAAGGGCAGTGCAGGCAGAACTGGGGGCAGCCAGGAGGCACACATGGAAACACAGCAGCTTTTGGGACACAGTTCAGAACAGGAGGAGCTTTTGCTGGTCCTGCTGTGCTCTGGGCACACTGGGGTGTTTTAACTTGTCTGCTCTGTGGTGTGGCAGCCAGTTTGGTTGACATTTATGAGGAATCCTGGCCTCTGGAGTGCTGGAAGTAGCTGGTTTCCTTGGAAAAGCAGGGATTCCCCCCTCTTCACACAGAGGTGGGCAGTGCAAAGCAGTTTGTCAGGACAATGTGCTCTGGCCCAGGTCAGGGGAGTCATGTCCTCACATGAGCAGGAGAGGGGCCAGCACAGAGCCAAACCTGGGAAATCCACCATGATTTTAAACCCTGGCTTCTGCTCTCCCTCTCTTCCAGGCCTTTCACATCACCAACGATGAACCAATTCCCTTCTGGACATTCATGTCCCGCATCCTGACCGGCCTGGACTACGACCCCCCCAAGTACCACATCCCCTACTGGCTGGCCTATTACCTGGCCCTGCTGCTGGCCCTGCTGCTGGCCCTGCTCAGGCCCCTGGTGACCATCAAGGCCACCTTCACGCCCATGAGGGTGGCCCTGGCTGGGACCTTCCACTACTACAGCTGTGAGAGGGCCAAGAGGGCCATGGGCTACAGCCCCGTGGTCAGCCTGGACGAGGCCATTGCCAGGACTGTGCAGAGCTACCCCGGCCTGCGCCGGGCCAGGGCCTGACAGCCCTGCCTGGAGCCTCTGCTGCCTGATTGCCATCGTTTGTGACAGCTGAACGTGGAGCAAGTGTCACCAGTTCCCAGGAAAGAGGAGTTTTCCTGAAGTCTCTGCTCCTCCTCCTCACCATTCTGTGTGGGAGCTGTGCTGGCAGTTTGTTTCTTGGATGTGACTTCTTGTTTGGAAACAGCTGCTGAACTCTCTGGGCTGTGAATAAACACCCTGCTGTGCCCTCTTCAATCCTGAGCAGGCACACCAGCATTCCTGCTCCTCTCCCTCCACCCTTGTCCCGTGTTTTGTTGCTCTGGTGACAGCAGCCACCTCTTCCCAGAGCTGCAGGCTGGGTCACAAACACTTCCTGTGGCTGGCTCCCCCTCTGGGCTTTGGCTTTGCTCTCCACAAGAGAGCCCCGTGCCAGAAAGGACTTCTGCCACCATCTCTTAAATCATTGCAGCTCTTCTGGTTTTCCCTCCATGATCAGGGGCTGGTTTGGCTTCTCCCTGAGGCAGCAGAAGGAGCCCGCATGGAATGTGTTCACTTGTGGGTTCACTCCTTTGTCCATGCAGGATTTATTTCTGTTCCAAAGGAACCCAAATAAATCACACAGAGCTGACTTTGCATCTTTGTGTCCCATCTCTGAGAGGGCAGATCCCACATCCACAAACAGGATGTTAATGATTCCCTTTTGGGGACAGAGATCTTTGGGAGCTGCCTGGCAGCAGCCCCAGCACTGTTCTGCAGATCTCAGTGTTGGGAAGATCCTGCAGCACCCAAGCTGCTCTTCCCTGCCCTGTCAGTGCTGGTCACGGAGATTTTTGGTGCTCTGACTACTTAGTCCATGAAAAAACCTCTTTTCCACAAGGAAAGGGGTACAAAGCAACAGTCCCCAAGCTATTTCCTCCGACTTGTATGTTAAATGTTCTTTGCCCTCTAATCTTTCTAAGCACTTCAGTTCTGGTTTGCTTTTAAATGAGGGGTTTAGGTTAGAGCTGGAATTTTGCCCTGTGCGAATTCCTGGATCCCTGGGAGTTCTGGTGTTTCGAATTTCAGAAGGATGGGAAGTGCCTCAGTCACAGAATTACAGAATCCCAGGATGGTTTGGGTAGGGAGGGACCTTAAAGCTCATCCCATTCCACCCCCAGGGACACCTTCCACTATCCCAGGCTGCTCCAAGCCCCATCCAACCTGGCCTTGGACACTTCAGGGATCCAGGGGCAGCCACAGCCTCAGGCACATGGAGCCTTAACCTCAATGTGCTGCTATATTCTGATTAAATGGGTTTTATTTGAACTTCTGGCTGTTTTCTGCGAAAAAAACACCAACCCGTTGGGCTTTTTTTCCTGGGAATTTTGAATTGCTGCTTAACAGCTGGCTTTACCAGCCTTGGCCTTGCTTGATCTTGCAGCAGATACTGGCCAGGTGCTTGGGCCAGCCCCACCATCCTCCTGGGCACTGCTCAGCCCCCCTGGGAGCAGGGACAGCCCTGCCCTCCCACGGGGAGGGGATGGAAGGGGAAGGATCCAGGATTTCCTGAAGCCAAACCAGAGGTAAATCACTACATCCCTGTCAGATTATGCCATTTTCTGACTTAGAGATGGGGCAGCTGAGAGGAGTTTTTAGAACTTGTATTCTATTTTCAGTCTCATGTGAAGGGTGAGACAATACAGCTGTTAAAATTCACGCTATTACAATCAGAAGCTTTCTATCAAACTTTAAAAATTCTCTACAAATTCATTTCCCACACATCAACTTCGGCCTCTAGGTGGCATTTCCCAGCCCGGCAGCTCCAATCCATCCCAAAAATGCCGTGGCTGTGCTTGGGCACAAGTCAGGGCAGGGTGACTCCTCTCCCTGTGCTGGCAGGGGCAGCTGAAGGGGCTGAGGGTCCTGGCAGCTGAGCTCAGCTGGGCCACAGCGGGGCAGGGGGTCCCTCTGCCAGGCAGGGACCCAGAGCTTTTCTGGGCTGGGAGCAGTGCTCAGGTGGCACCGAGGGCAGGGCTGGGCACAGCTGGGCTGGCTGCTCTCCCGGTGCAGTCAGGGAGCTGCCAGGTTCCTCTGGCTCTGAGTGCTGCTGTTTCCCAAGCCCAGGTAAACAGGGAGTGCTGGAGCCTGGCTGTGCCTCCATCCCTGGCCCCACACAGCAGAGCCCTGCCTGCTCCACAGCCTCTTCCAGCCCTGCTCCAGCCTCCTCCTCTCGTTTTCCAGCTCTAACCAGCATAAATCCCATTCTGGGTGGTTTTTTGGGGCACACTTCTCTTGTGCCCTGCCTGGATATATTTTTGTGCCACCTCTGCAGCACTGGGAAGGTGTGGAGCTGCTGGAGCGAGTCCAGAGGAGGCAGCAAGATGCTCAGGGGGATGGAGCAGCTCTGCTGGGAGGAAAGGCTGGCACAGCTGGGATTGTTCACCTGGAGAACAGAAGCTTTGGGATGACCTCAGTGTGGCCTTGCAGGGCCTGAAGGAGCCAACTGGAAACATGAGAGAAACATGGAGACAATTTACAAGGGAGGGAGGGATAGGACACAGGGAAGGGTTAGATGGGATACTGGGCAGGAATTGTTCCCTGTGAGGGTGGGCAGGCCCTGGCACAGGGTGCCCAGAGCAGCTGTGGCTGCCCCTGGATCCCTGGCAGTGCCCAAGGCCAGGCTGGACACTGGGGCTTGGAGCAGCCTGGGACAGGGGAAGGTGTCCCTGCCCATGGCAGGGGTGGCTCTGGATGGGCTTTGAGGTCCTTCCCACCCCAAACCATTCAGGGATTTTTATGACTTCCAGTCTCTATTTGGTGTGTGTCAGCGAGCAGAGGCTGTGAAGCAAAATTGCCATTATCAAACTTTCCTTCCAAATATCCAGGATCAAATGCAGGTGCAGTCTGTCCCTGTCAGGAACACTCAACAGGAGCTCCCCACGACTTCAAAGAGTTCCCTGGAGCACTCTCATCAAACTCCTTATCTCCCTCTCTCTGCTTTCGTGGCTTTTCCTTGCTGCAGCTCCTCATTTTGCTGACCTGAGATTGGTTTTGGCAGTGGGAGAGATAAAGAGATCTTCTGTTGCTTATCCTGGAGAATGGGAGGGAGGGAAGGAACAGAGGATTACAAGTGCTTTTCTAGGTGGAGTTAAGGTAACCAAAGCCCCCATTCCCCTCTTACAGGGATTGCACAGGGAACTTGCTCAGGAGGATTGTCCAAGGAATTGCTTTCAGTGCTGCCCTTGGAACGTGGGGAAAGCCCTGGTCCAGACACCTCCAGAGAGGAAAAAGAGTGGCTTGCCTGTAATTACCAGAAATAGGTAAGAGGAAAAATGGATGAAAGCAGGTCAGAAATGACCCTGCATGTCCAGGGAGCACAAAGGCTCAGGGGGCACTCAGGAGTGTGCAGGAGGTGTCCAAGGCCAGGCTGGACAGGGCTGGGAGCAAGTGGGACAGTGGAAGGTGTCCCTGCCCATGGGGTGGAACCAGAGGGGCTTTGAGGTCCCTTCCAAGCCAAACCATTCCAGTGTGATTCAGTGAGGTTTGGGAGCAGTGTGCCATCTGCACCCTGCAAGCACTGCGGGATTTCCAGACACAGGATCCAGGCCACGCTGCAGGGCTCCAGCTCAGCATTTTGGGAAGCTGTGGAAGGAATGTTTTCTGCCCCAGTACATCCAGTTACCCCCATGTGCTGATGGCAGGGAGCACCAGGACATTCCCACACCTCCCAGCCATGGCAGGATGGGCTGGCTCTGCTTCCCGGGAGAATTCTCTCCGAGTTTCGCTGCTGCTTGTGCAAGCCCCGGGCTGGTGCCAGGCCCACGGGGGCAGAGTGGTGCAACCCACGCCCTGTCAGGGCAGGGGGAAGAGCAGCTTGTTTGCCTCAGAGCCTGCAGGGAGCTCGCTGAGCTGCTGAGGATAAATCAGCATCTCCCTGCTTGCGCCAGAGCGGGTTTGGGGTGTTGTGGTGGCACCGCGGTGTCCCCGCCACAGCTCTGCCTCTGCCGTGCCCCAGCTCTGCTGACAGCAGCACTTTGTGTCGTGCTGGCACTCCCGAGCTCCTGCAGTGTGCAGGTGTGTCCCTGACCACGGGCAGATTGCTGTATTCCTGCAGGGAATCGTTGGGACAGACAATGCCCTGCTGCCACCTGCTATTAGGAAGGTGAGGTCTGGCGTTCTGGCAGAGTCCTGCGGTGACACCTCATGAAAAACCAGTTGGATTCCCTTGTAACAAATGGGTGTAGTGGTTTTACACCCTGCGACTCATCACGGCTCGGCTGGGCTTGGGGCTGGTGGCACCTCTGCACAGCCCAAGGACTGCAGGGTGACTGCCCTGCCCTCCCCCCTCAGCGGCAGGGAGGGGCTGCAAAGTGGTATCGGCAAAGCAGGACATGTTCCAGAGCAAATCAGGGCTCTGGAGTGGGCTTGGTGGATTTCTCACCACCAGAAAATACTGGAAAATGCTACAGGATGTTGCCGTGGCTGTTCAAACACAGGCTGGGCTGTGAGGCTGACTCTGGGCAGGAATCACGTTTGCCGCAGGAATGATTTGGTAAAAACCCCCTTGCCATGAAATTGGCTGCCTGGATTTCCAGGGTGGAGCAGGTTCCTTGCAGACATCCCTGTTCCTGCAGGAATGAGCTGTGGGGTTACAGCTGTTGGCACCCAGCTGCTCTGGAAGTGGCAGAACAAGGATCAATCAGTGCCAGCTGTGGGACATCTTCATGAAAAAGGGTCTTGGTGCTTTCCTCAGAGAGCAGATCCCATAAAAATCCATTTCCTGGTAAAGTCAGATATTCCAGGCTGAAATTTACTTGGTAACAATAAGGTTTTTAACTGGACCTGGGGGAAAGACTTGTTTTCTTGCTCTCCCATGCTGCAGGAGTGTGTGTGTGTGTCCCTGGAGAAGCTGGGCGGGTGGGATGGGAGACAGAATCTTGCTCCTGCTCTGGGCTGGGCTCAGGCACAGCTTTACCTGAGCCTTGGCTCGTGGCTGAGGGGGGGCCAGGCCTGCAGGGTGGGGGTTCAAGCCAGATCCTCTTGGTTTTAACCAGATTCAGTGGGAAAATGTAAAAATTCCCCTCTTGGATTCCGCTCGGGTCAGATGAGTATAAAGGACTTTTTGTGTTGTTGACTTCAGCAGACTCAGGTTTCCTCCAAAGGTGTGCAGGGCACCTGTGCTGCTCCAGCTGGGGCTGGTCCTGTCAGGGAGACCAAGACTGCTGTCTTTTCCTGGAGCATCCTGAATTTGGCAGTGTTGAAGTTCCACTGTGAGCAGCTCCCTAGCAGAAATCTGGAGCCTATCCCTGAGCCTCTGGGCTCCTTCAGGCCCTGCAAGGCCACACTGAGGTCACCCCAAAGCTTCTGTTCGAACGGGAGCGCTGGGCTGTCCTGCCCCGCCAGGGACACCCGGGGACACCTGAATCCTCCTGCCCCGTGGAAGTGGAGCTGTTCGGGGGTGTCTCGGACCAAAGCGTGCCTCTGCGGGGATGGGGCTCCTGCACAAACGGGCTGGGGCTGGGGTTTGGCTCTGGGGCTTTGTTGCACCTGTCTGATCTCAAATTCCCTCCCTGCCCGCGGCTTCACATCTTTCTAAACCCCTTCTCCCCTCTGGATTTCCGTGGGGCACAGCAGTGCCCTCCCTGGGCCAGGTTGGTGTGGGCAGGGTGCAGAAAACTCCGGGGAAATTCAACCCTGTGTCCCCGACAGCCTCCGAGAGGTTTGCGGGAGCTCCAAACCTGCCCAGCCCCTCCCTGCCAGGACTCCTGTGCGACGCAGGGGCTGCACGCAGAGATTTCTCCCCCTCTGCTGCTCTTGCCTTGTTTTGTTTCTGCCCGAATCAGTGTGAAATTAGCACCCTGGGAAGGAGTGGCAGAGCTGGCACAGAGGCGAGAGCACCTCCCTCTGTCCTTGCTTCATCCAGGGAATGTCATCCCCATTTTCCTGTCCCAGCCCTGCTCAGGACAG